ATGCGCCACGAAGGTCAGAGTTCATTGCAACCCGCGGAAAATGATGCGACTAGGTACCATTATTTATTTCCATTTATTCATTCCGTAACTTTACTTGTGAATAACACGCGACAGGGAAAATTATTTTACTTATTAGCTCTGTTGTAGATTCTATATTAATTAACCGGCTTATTTAGGACTTTCGGATTATCTCATTACATATTTATAATTACTTTTATCGCGGATAAAATTTTATTAACTATGCTATCATAAAACAAAGTTACTGCTATAATTATGAAAAATACACATAACTTCATTAAAGGAATAAAAAGAAAAAGAATACATATATATAGAAGAAAGATAACATTGGCGTTATGATTCTCATTAAGAAACTAGATTGTGGTCTTCTTGTTGTGGCCCACTACAACAATACTATTTCAAATAATATAAAATTATCATACGTGCACACAATAATTTCATCATGTCAATATTGACATATTTATAAATTCATGCGAGCGAAATGTATATAAAAAAAAAGAATTTTGTTGTCTCAACAAAATTATTGCATTGCTACATATGAAAGAAAAAACTTCGTTATCGTAAATTACTCGATATTAATATTTATTTTGTTGGTAAAATCTTTTGTTAGAAAAATTTTACTAAGTGAATTTGGTAATTTTAGAAACACACGAGATTGCTGCTAAAGCAGAACGATCTTAATGGAAATGTTACAATGAAATCGTCACTGCTTTAATGAAGAAAGAATCAATTTTCTCTAATTATTATAGTATATTATAAATCATATTGCAGCAAAATTATTCTTAGCTTATCACAAGTGTTTTGTCGTCCATATAATAATTAACGAAACTTGCAGAACGGTAGAATACGATCGCATATATGTGCCATCAAATTTCCTTTCCCGGCGCGCACTGTGACTTTAACATACTTTTGTGGCTGTCACAATTTCTTAATATACGCCATCAACGCCACATTTTTTAACTCGAAATATACGCAAAACATTCGCGATCCGCAGGCGTGATGCGTAGTGCAGTCCCCAGAATGTTGCGATGCCAGCCCCGGAAATAGCTCTTCCGCTTGTAAAGCCACCGGTTCGGTACAAGATGGTACGATTTCGCTGCGGGTTACAATTACGAGCGAGGCGCGTAATTAAAAGCTGATGTCCCTCATTTATTAATGCTACCAGACGAGCCAGCCTCTGTCAGTATCGCGCGGCACCGCTCGTCCGGTTTAATGTTAAACATCATCAGTCTTCGGTGCATCCTTGATGTAAAAAAGAGAACGAGGAAGAGAGAAAGAGACGAGAGGAAGGCTATATAGAATGCATCTCGTGAGTTTACACTTCGGATTTTATATCTCATTCGTATATTTTACGTGGAATGCACATCGATCGTGCGTTGATGTTGTACGCAAAGATTATCGATGAAACGCGATCGCTTGTTATAAATGACTTAATTTTTTGTATTTTTTGCCCAATTAAGTTCAATAGTAGAAATTATGAACGGCACAGAAAAATTCGTTCTCGATATCTCAAATAATGCTGCAATTAGTCCCTAACTTTTTTAACATTAAACTTTTAATATGTTCTAAGAACTTTTATTTTGCATAAACAAAAACAGTCTCTGTCTTTATTTCCTTATACATTTTTGATAAAAAGTATTATACGGTGAGAATAAATTAGTTGAAAATAATTACCGCCACCGACTCCAAAATCGAGCTTGTTAAGAAATTGAATTATTTTGATATATATATATATATATATATATTTGGACGTGCAGTTCGCTCTGATTAAGATTGTGAAGACCAGACAGCTCGCAGTTGCGAACTTCGGTAGCGTTGTTATAATTCTGGATACTACATATTGGATAGTTGAAGTCCTCTTAGAATCGCGCGTACGGAACTATTGGATAATGAAGCTTATCTGGCTGCGCTAATGTACGACCGATGCCGTACGCGGGTTGTGCATTTACTGTCATGTGATTGATAATCGCGTCGACGTATATTCGCGCACCAGCCTTGTTACATCTTTGCACCATATTCCTAAACTCGAATTTGTTTCCGGATCGACTGATAATTTTTATAAGAAATCGGCTGATATCTTTCGAACCAAGGTCTACCGTTTATCACAAGATTCTCATTTATGAGAGAAACCTACGAAAGTACAAGAATCCATTTCGCATTATATTTTTTATATGTAACGCATTCAGTGCTATGCAGAACTGACTTGTACTTCGTATATTGTTAGTTTGCATAATGTTTGTATAATATTAGTTTGCAGAAACAAAATTGGCAAATTTATTCTTTAATTCAACAACAAAATATTATAAGTATATGCATTATGCATATAGTTTTTTTTCTATTCTCTAATGCAGCACCGTAATTGGCTCCAATTGCTTTATGATAGGGTTAGATAAGTTAGCTTTTTCTTGATCGAGTTAAATTAAAATTAATGGGTTATAAAATTAATTTAGTTACATTAAAAGTAATATAAACCAATAACTAACTTACAATTAGTTAAATTAAAGTTAAAAAAATTAACTTAAATTAAATTAAGAATTAATTTCAAAAAATATTCAATGTAGTCAAAATAATTATAAATAATAATATCATATTATAATAATATTCAAAATAAAGGAATTATATTATAATGCTACATAATATACGAGCGTTACTTATTATACTATATAAGCGTATTATACATACTTATACACCACCGTAACCCATCGGATCAAGGAAGTTTTCACATTCTTTGGCAATGTCATCGAATTTCCACTCGAATAAGTGAACCATGGTAGTTCTATTACCGACATAATGCGGATTTTTATGAGCAATTGCAAACGCCAACAAAGATATGAGACCAAGGCTAAAAAGAGGCGTCAAGCTTGAAAACTGACAATAATTGTTTGAGTGTTTCCGATATAACTGGACAATTTATAGAAAACTTGCCTCGCTGATACGCAATGATTAATGAAGTTATCAGAAAAATAGTACAATACTCATGATAAGTGTCACTAGTATTAATAGAGCAAACTGATAATCGTTATATGCATTATGTACTTCATTTGTCATTCTTTCTGAAGCACTGACATTAATTGCTGATGTTCAAGATGATTTCATCGCATGTGGCAGTCTTATTATGGTTCAAAATATATGGTTATGGAAATAATTGTTACATAATAGACTGTAAATAAACTGAACATGCAAATTATTGAGAAATTATTGAGAAATTAGAAAAAAACAGTTATACTTACGAAACAAGTGTTACATAAGTTTCTTTTTGTATATATCCTTTGGTATATAGAGTATCCTAAAATTTGCGATTTTTAAAATACCACAACAAAAATTCTAAAAAATAAGTTAAATAAGTATTTGTCATTATCCGAAGGTGTAGTTTTTGAGACTAAAAATTGCATTACGATTAAACGACTGTTTATTTGTAAATTAATGCTTGCACCACGCGAGTATTAGTGATCGCATCCTTCAAACACTCACAGATATTAATCATATCTGATTGTACGTGTAACGTCGGCGTAATACTGTGTGTTATGTGTAATATTTGTTATGAATTAGTTTATGCTGCCAATAAATAACGTTGATAAATTTAAAAATAATGTAAATTTATAATTTATCGAAATTATATTACACTATATTATTGCATAAACAATATTTTATTTAAACAATTACGTGTTGATTTTTACCGATCACATTTATTTTTATTTTTTTAAATTGCCGATTAATAAGGAAACTGTATAATTGATAATATTATAACAATAATAATAATAATAATAACTGTAATAATTTGAAATTACCACATTTAATTATATTAATAAAGAATTGCTTACATATAATTTTTTATTTTTTATTTTATTGGTTTTACCGAACAATGGTTGGATGTTACTTTTTCTTTATATATTATCTTTGTTATAATCTACATCTCAAATAAGTGTATAGATGATTTTTATATTTATATATAGCACGAGCTATTTTAAATATCAAATTAAAAATCCGGTGTAAAATGATTGTTCTGTTTTCAAAATAAAAATTAAATATAATATTTTTTCTTGTTTTTTGTTCTTGCGATTGGAGTGTGGTATTTCGGTATAATCAAACCTTTTTAAAAGGCCGTTAACACCGACGGAACAGCCTCGATGGCAGATGGCACGATTGATAGATCGGTACGGACTAAATCTCGCGATATCTTACGTCATAAACGTAGCCAGGATGCTGGAAGGATAATTATTTGTGATGCGCCTGCCATCTGACGCTCGTAACGAGTCGAGTCGATCGTGGGGGGAGAACAAGGTCGGCAGAGGCACGGGTGCGAAATGTCATGATAATATTCATCGATCTCTTTGGCATGTAACACCTTTCGCTATTTATTTGGGATGATTTGTCTGCGATTCATCACCGCGTTGACCGCTCAGCATTTCCCGCACGGGATACGGTAGAGCGAATGGAATAACGTAATCCAGGTGTTGAACGTGCGCAAGATTTGTATTTACGTAAAAAAAATTAAAAACTATCAATGTCAAAGTAAAATGCACATGCTACCTTTGATATAATATTACCTTTTGTATTTATAAGAATTGAATTACCTTTTCCTACCATCTGGTTGTGTCTATTATGATTTCCCGCAGACGCTTCAAAGTAATGAGATAAAATGAAGAACTCAACTTTTGACTCATATTTTTCTTTATTTATAGTTGGACTGATTTGGCTACGGCATATCACAGTAAATAGATCGAACTTTTAGGTAGAGTTATACCGATCGCCAGCGAATCAACGGTTTTTGAACTTTATACAATTCCATACGTGACTGTCTGTCTTCCTTTCTTTCTGTTATAGTTTCATCTTCAAACGGAAGAAATGCAGTACGCTTTTTATATAAACTATGCATTCAGGAGGAGGGATATGTATAAAATCAGACGCGTAAATATTACTTAATTATGTTGTAAAGGAAACTTAAACTAAAATTACCACAATATTACATGTTACTATATATTAAATTGAAAAATTTATTCTTATGTGTATTTCCTCTCAAAATAAGAATAGATGGAAGACTAATGGATACTAGTATAATAATGAATTGATTAAAATACGCAGTAGAATAATAGCAGAACAGCAAATTGCTAAAGAAATCATTGAATTAACATGTTTACTATCACTATGTTTTCATTTTATTTTTAGAACATTTCGCCAGGAACATTTCGTCATAATTTTCTTAAAAAGTGATTTTAGTGAGGCGAGTTGTATAAAACTTTTGGCGCTTATACTTTAAGCGCTTAAAAATAGAGACACAAGCGCAAATCAAAGACGCGCCTGCGCGTCGGTGACAGTGAACATGTTAATCAGTTTTAATTGAATTACATTTTAAATAAGAAGAAAGAACCTCAGTACGCGCGATACTTTATGCCATACTTTATCCATTTATGTTTAGCTCGATCGCATTATCGATTAACATTGTGATAAGGAGTTCGCGCCATTTAGGCTGCTCAACGATATATATATATATATATATATATTTTTGTTTGTACATACATCTTACGTATAAAACAATAGAAATGTCGCTGCACACAACAGACAACGGTACATAGACAAGTAAATATATTCACATTTATGAACATATCTTTGACACATCTACGCAAATAAGCTGCACATGCGACAGTAATAAAAACATTACCAGAGGTGACAGCTGCGTTTTAGTTTTACGCTCATTGTCAATTGTTGTTGACGTTTTGATCTATGCGTTAAGCTCTGCTTAAAAATTAAACTGCTTCTGTGTAATCTCTACCGGATTGCTATCTAACGTTACTAAGAGCGCGTGTCTAAACTTTAGTGCATATTTTTTATTTATAACGGACTGAAGTGTAATATATAACTTATTTTGTAGCTGCATGCATCAATTATTATAGTTAAAAACTATGACAATAATATTCGTTTCTGCAAAATTTATCTGGCGAGTATTCAGACTTCTGTTACTACCTGAACCATAGCTTCGCTGTGATTTTTGGTTTTCTGATAATTGACGGTGCAACTGAATGAATAATATGTCTTGCATCGAGTGTAATAATATCCAGGGAAGCATTCATGGCAAAATATCGGCTCTCCAGTCACCTATTACTGTCAAATGGCCACCATTTTCCAGAAACATATAGAATATATATTACATATCTCTCTTGGCTATAATATAAGATCTATTTTTAACAAGCGTATATAGTGTTTCTCTGAAATTGTTACTATAATCACATTATATCTCGTAGTGAAAAGTTCGTTCGATATAAGTCAATCTTTTTGACAATGCAGTTTCGTTGATTAATAATAGAAACAGTTCAATGGTGAGAAGTAAAGATGGTAAAAAATATTACGAAGTTTATGGCAAACATATAATTTATGACAAATTAGATACTACAAAAAATAGTTGCACGAGATAAATTATGTGGGCTAATGATCATAAAAATACAAATAATAAATAATATACAAGAAACTGTATCTTTAAACTGCACTTTTTAATTAATTCATGTTAGTTATCTATCCGCAGTGGTGCATTTATTGGACTGAACGGTATGAACTTGTCGAACACACACGATAGAGAAAGCATGATAAACGAAGCGACAGATGCATTTTTGTTTACATGCACATATTTACGTTTAACAAATACATATTTCTCTTGCAACAGTAACATGAGTACGATTGTCTTCTTCCACGATCATGGACAATCAAGCCTAACGGAATCCTCTGATTTATTATATCTAGAAATGGCGACGCGCATATCGAAACTATCGAGATTGCGGCGGCGCAAAGACGGTACCGTTAAAGCTTCATTTGCATCGTGGAGAAGAAGTTGATTACATGCACCAGAACTTGATATTCTGACGCGCGCGTTACTTCGACACGTCAACATTAGAACGTTAAAGGAAACGCCGATGCTCTCTTAAGACATTAAGTAACCCCGGAATATGCGGAGCGCTGTAATGCGTCTTAATGCATTACGTCTCGCATTCACGGTACCTTTCAACATGGATGGATAAGTCGTAGAGCCGTATAGCTGCGAGGTCGCTTGAGACATCCAGACGGAAGCGACGAGGCGAATGATCGAAATTTAGAATATATGTGTTTTGTATAGCCAGACTAGATTCGCGCGACCTTCGTGCCTCAGCACTATCCTAATGTAAAGTCCACTGACTCCCTCGAGCGGTCGGATTCCCGGCTGCTCCTGGTGTAGCTGCGGCTGCTGTAGTTGCTGCTGCTGTTGCGATTCCCCAGGCTGTGACAACTGCGGCTTCTCTTTCCGGTGCTGTGCCTCTTGATCTTCTTGCACTGTTATCTCCATCTTTTGCTGTTGCACAAATGACTCTTGACGCGATATCTCTGCTTTCTCACCTTGCTTGCGCAGTTTCGCTCGCTCATTTTTATCCAGCGGTTCTTGCAGCTGTTTGCGTTTCTGTTGCAGTTCCAACTGTTCGTCTGCCTTTTGCAGTTGCGACTGTTTATCGTCAACTTTTTTCTGTTGCTGCGCACACTGTTCAGCTTTCGGCGAACGTTTCATTTCTTCTTTCTTCAGCTGCTCCGCTTCTTTTTTCAGCCGCATAATTTGCTGCTGTTCCTCTTTGTCTTTTTCTAGTTTCCTTCGTATTTCATGTTCCATCTTTTGTTGCAACGGTTTTTCTTCCTGTTCCAGTTTTCGCTGTAATGCTTCTTCATCTCGCTCCAGCTTGCGTCGTAGTTGTTCTTCCAGTTCTAATTTACGCTGCAATAGCTGTTGTTCTTGTTGAAGCTTCCTTTGCTCTCTGTCTTTCTCTATCTTCTGACGGACTTGCTGCTGTAGATGACCCGGCTCTTTTTGTTGTAATTGCACTTGTTCCTGTTTCTGTTGTTCCTGCGGTTGACGCTGTGGTTGAGGCGCTTCCTGTTCCGCATGAACCTGAACTTGAGATTCTTGCTGTTGCTCCTGCTGCTGCCGTTGTTGTTGCTGTTGCGGTCGCTGTTTTTCTCTCTGCTCTCTTTCTTCTGCGATAACATCGTCTGTCGGCGCCGCTCCTTCGTCGGGGCCACAAATATCCTCGGTTCGTCGAGGCTCGTCCGAAACGGCCGCGGTCAGTGCGGCCGTGGCCTGAGGTTAGTTGCTACCAGAATTTTGTTTCTGATCCGATCCGGCGTCGGAGCCGCTCGAGCTCAAGGTCGTGATGCTGCCATACGGATCCAGCGACGACTGGACCGACATGCTGCGACCCTGTCTCCTCACTCTGTGGGGAGAGAATTTTCTGGGGTCGACACTGGTTGGGTCTGCCTGCAACAAATTCTTTCATAAAGAAGCTGATGGCGCTGTCGCAAGGAATTGTGTGAGACACGTTTCATAATGCTAACTATATCAATAATATCTTTTTGCGTTTTAAAATATATGAAATATATGAAAAAGCAACGCGCACCTGATAAGCTAATGCATTCATGATAATTTCCGGTGGCACCAATCCCAAAGGATTTACTTCTTGCATCAATACAGTGGCTGGAATTTTGTGAAATTGAATGTACTCGATGAAGTTACCAATTACATCTTTCAACGGGGTATTTTGATTGTTGTCGCAATACTTTTTACTCCACATTAATGCAGCCTGTAAGCGAGAAGTTAATTTGAAGAAACATTATGCAGAAAAATGTCGGATAAATGTTAACATATTCATGTGTCAAGCTTACTTGAAATTTCGTAAATTCATCTGCACGTAATTCTTCTCTGGCAAGGATCAAACGAACAACGTGTTGCGGTAGTAATGTGAATGATCCTAAATTCAGTACTTCATTGCCATGCTCATCGACGAACTCTAGTACCTTCGCAGAGTTTAGTAATAATTTTAAATTAATTATTACTAAAATTACAAAATTAAGCATTAAAGGCATAATGTATCGAAAACTTTTACAGTTAATTTACCTTCTGAACCAAGGATTTCGTGCACTTATATTGAATATAACGCTCCGCTGATGCTAACAGAGCGCAGACCGTATCAACGGTTATACAACATTGAACAAAGCCTGCACAGGCTCGCCTGAGTTCATCCAATCCATAATAATCGGCGGCGTTCATTACCCCTAACATAAGGACATAAATTATTATCAGCCATCGAAATTGAATCATTCATTAGATTCAATAAAACATTTGATGTGTCTTTTACAGAAATTATACATGGAATTATCTTATGAAATTCTACTTTATGTATGCTTAGCTCACGAATGTCGGATAAGATATACCATAATGACAGGAAATATACTCGTCATAATGATTAATCCATGCGGCATATAATAGACATTCTAATTGGTTTGTTAGAGATACTATATAATTAATTGATTACCAAGCAAAGTCCTAGGCTGTAATGTCACACATCCCGTATGTATATACTCGATCAGTTGCCGGAAGACATCGGGCTCGAATTCCTCGATAATCAGCGTATGATGCTGATGTGATTGCGGCTACGATACAAAAGTAAAATACAAACATCTAAACGAAGAAATGGGGATATTCAGATTCAAGCTTAAATCGAATACCCGTGCTAAGCGACTTGCATGGGAATCCGTAAGGACTAGCGCAATAGTAAATCAAATTCACTAATTATGAAGTAAGAGATGATATGTTAGATAAGAGATACATCGGCATATATCATAATAATATTTTTAATTGAGTGCAAAATTTTAGCTATTGTGCATGTAACATATTAGGAGAATAAGTAATAATATATTGCCTAACTAATAACCCAGCGAACATATTCAAGTACTATGCGTCTGTTAATTTTTTTTAAAATAAACTTGTATTTTTTGCGTTTCACTGAGAACATCCTATTAATAATTTGTCTTAAGATGCACGCTGAAATTTATATTAATATTAATAATCACAACTTGTTCGCTTGGTTGATTTGTGAGTTACCATTATGTAAGTCAGTGTGACTACGTTTACACACAGCACCTTTAATCGGGTTTGATAACATTCGTAGCTATGAAACTGGCCAATCATAGCTATTTCATTGAAGAATGGAATGGCCGTGTTGGCCAGTTTCACACTCATTTACTCACTTACTCACACACACACACACACGCACGCACGCACGCACAACTATGGATATTATTAAACCCGATTAAGAATGCCATGTAAACGTAGTCAATGACAGCTGAAATAGCGAATTCTGTAATCGTGCTAATCTACAGCTATAATGGATTTGGCGACTACGAGAGTACAATTGAATCGATCATGCAGTAGTCCAAATATAGAATTAGCGCACAGTTCAGTCCATAATCGCATGAATTAATTACGTATTTGCGCACGTGTCTGGAGAATAGTCTATCTCTCTTCAACGCGCAAAAGAACAAGGTAAAAGAACGTTTGTCCAAGTAAAGAAGTCAAGGCAGCGAAAAAACATTGATATGTCAATACATAAATTTCAAGTGGTCTCCTACGACAGCTTCTCTAAATGATTTCGTGAGGCAAAGTCATGATCACAGTGCAGTGAGCAGAAAATTAGCGAAGAGAAAAAGAGGAGTACTCAATTAGAAATATAGGGAGAAAGGGGGCCAGATATGGGATGGAAACGATTTCGATCTGTATGTAAAAAATTTTACGTAAAAGTGACGTTCAAAGTACCTCTTGGATGGGGGCCAGTTGCTGCGTGAACCCTGACCGCTACACGACACATACAAACGCACACTTACTATTTCTATCCTGATAAAAGCGGAATATTCATTTCAGCGACGGTCACGATAAATATGCAACGTGTCCCAAAAAAAAAAAACGAAAAGATTGTCATTTCAATAAGGTGTTTGTATTTAGATAAACTGAAATATATGTGTAATTATTTTCGTATTTTATATTAATTAGCAGACTAATGGAAAATCCAGTTCTATATAAGTTTCGTTAAATTAAAATTGCTAAAAGTAAAATTAACACGAGCGATCGTTGGGTTTTGCATATCGAACGTGTTCGCCTCTTACAATATTAGTTTGAGAAATTGTTTATATCTATTTTATATATGTGCTATTTACATAATATGATTATTGTCTCTTTCTGTTTTGTATTGAGATATATACACGCATATATTGATTTCGTCACAAAGGAAAATTGGAAAAGGAGCTGGTTAAAGAATATCAAAAATAGACAAAAAAGATTTGATGTCTTCCTCATTGAGACCTGATACATTGTAAATATTGCGCTGTACTTATTTTTTTCATTGGTCAGAGCGACAAGTTTGTTAGTGATAAATTGTGTATTAACTTTCATGTCAAGTACCTGTTGCGCAGCGTTCTGCAAATTTAACAGCGGCTCGGAGCTGCGCTTGAGAAAGAGCCGAATCTTGTTTTCTCGCGCCGGCGGTTCTTTTTTACGTTGCGGACTCGGAGTTTGATATAGCATTTTATGGAAGACTCTGTAAATTTTAAAAAGAATGAAAACCTTTGTTTAACTCGTTTGTCCAATGCGTGTTAATATATATGAAGATGTTTTTTATATTACAAACCTGCTTCTGGCCGCGAGCACAGCTTTTACGGCGCAAACTGGCTCCCTGGTGTCACCAACGAGAAATGTCACGTCGCAGAGTTCTGGCATACTCGCCAAAAACTTCATGTCTTCAGCCAGGCCGGTTTTATTCTCGAAAGTCGAGTAATCATCCTCGTCGGTCATCCCAGATCCTGAAGCCTCCGGCATCGGGCCCATGTCTTCCTGCTGTTTATTTTATGTAGAATGAGGATAAATATATATTGTTGTAATTCTATTTCTTGCTTCATTTATAATTTTAATTTTAATTGTTGGATTCCGTTTATAATGAATGTAAAGACTAACATGATAAGTATTAGTGTGTGCAATATTATTTACATTTATTTATTTGCTATAAAACTGACTGTAAAAAAATTGCTCAATAATTATTATGTATACAAGTAGTGCGCAGGCTTAGATAAAAATATCATGGCCTTTTAATACGCAGCAGGGGATCGTATAAAGAAAAACGTCTCTTTCATCCATAAACTATTATTTAAAAGATAATCTATGCTATCCCTTTCCTTTTTTCTCTCGTTATGAGGTAATCTATAGTACTAACACTTTTATATTAAATATGTGCACTATCAACAATTCGATATAAACACTTAGAAATTTTGCTTGTGTTGTAGAGTGCAGGTGTTTTAACGAGGAGAAGAATCTGCTAGCTCTCTCGTCGACAAAGCGTTCCTACACTATAAAAGGATGTACTTTTCCTTACAACGGATCGCATTATCTACAATATAATTAACCTACTTGCTAAATAAAAAATTCGTTATCAAGTTTAAAAAAGTAATGCGGATATGCTTTAATTTCATTGATTAATCCTGTCAATAATGCTTCGTACTTAATTGCTGCTGTCCATTGTCACGTTACGTTTCAAATAATCGAGACAAATATAATGAGCACACACGCATTAAAAGAATTATTCATTTCCTGCAACTTTTTTTTAATCTCCTCTTCGTTATACTAAATACAGAATTTATTTTAGAATTAATTTTTGTATATTCTGATTGTTTTGTTCTAAAAAATATAAATAAAGCAATTCATGATATTATTTAAAGAAATATTAGAATTAATTCGTTTTACAAAAAAGACCTTTCTTTTTAATAATTTAATAATGAATTACTTAATTAATTATATTCTGCGCGTTTTTCAATTTTATTAAATCTGCAATAATTTTTAAAAGTATTATGCTTTAAGTATTATGTTTTAGCAATATAAAATACTTAATTTGTTTTCCTCGCTTTTAATAATTACCAGATTATTTCGCTTTGTTGTAAAGAATCAAATGCTCTAAATAATTAAGCATAAGAGAATATAATCATGTATGGAGAATAAAAAGAAGAGGATAAAACAATGATTGTTGGGAGAGAAATAAATAGGAGAGTGTCTCAATATGAAATGAAGTGTTACCTGTTGCTTTGATCCCGGAGCCTCTTCGCTTGCCGGGCTGTTTTGGCCCCGAAAAAACACTTTTAACTCTCTTCTTGAATGTTGTCGGAGAAATCAATCGATGTTGGCTGAATCGAATGCGCAAAGGAAGAACGAACAATTAATTATTAACGTATTAATATTGTGGAACACGTATTTCCAAAACAAACGGAGTCAATAAGAATTAAATTATTAGAAAATTATTAGGTTTTCTCTCTTAAATGTATATGTAAAATATTAATTAAGCACAATATACACAATAACTTAATTTGACACAAACCGGGAATACGATCGCAAATACAAAATATTCTCATCACATTTAAATGTAAAATACAAATGGTTACATTCGACAGCATAACGTGTGAAGTAAAAATTAATACAAATTGCAGGCGAAATTTATTGAACATTTCGATCGTAAGGCAAGTACCTAGAGGTCCGCGGTATCAAGCTCGGGATACAATCAACGTCGCGGAATTGATCGCGATGGTTTCCAGCACGCGTTTCCAACGAAGCTGTCCGGATCGAGCGAACACCGCCCCTTTTCGCCGCGGAAGAGACGAGGGGTGATCTTGCCGCAGAGAACGACGCGCGTGAACGTCTCAGTCCTGGCTGCTGTCTTCGTGAAGACTCGAGGGATTCCGGACGCGTTGGGGGTTGCTTTCGTGAATGGATACACAGTCGGAGGGAGAACAGGGCGAAGTCTCTGGACGAGCAAAGAGCTGGACAGATGCAGAGCTTCCTGTCGACGAGGCGTCGAAAAGGCGTCATGGCGCCTGCGTCATGGAACGTCGACGCCGCCCGTTTCTACGCCGGCTCGACCCGAAGGACCTTTTCCCTATCGGATGGGATAATTTCAAGCGAAACGGATATCCTTGGTCTAACGATTGATTAAATATCGCTTGAAAGTATTCAGTTTCGAGATCCTGCGTCATAGGCTTGCACTTTCGCTAAACGTAATACTTGTTGATAAATTCTGACTAGCTATTAGAAATTTTAGTCTTAAATTTTTTGCAATTTTATATATTATAAAACAAGTGATAATTTCTCTTTTGTGCAGAATGTAATACTACAATATAATTCATATCTATAATTTAAAATATATTTTATTTTTATTTCCCTATTTTGCAATTCTTTTAAACTCTTTTGAGGGATAATAGTTTTTATAATTTTCACCAAAAATGAATAATTTTATAATTAGTTACATATAAAGGTTTTAAAAGAAAAGTTTCTAACTTTCTCATAACAAAGAAGATTTATTAACTCTTACTGTTTTATAATTTACAACCGTCTGTTCCTCAAACATTGGTATTTTTAGGATATCGTGATATTTTTTTATAACCTACTAATGAGCAAACAAAAAATGAAGATAATACAAACACTACTGCACGCGATGAATTCGGATTAAGCTCAATCTGTATTGGAACAGCAATATGTATTGGAATCATTGACGTTGTTAAAAAAAGCTTCTTTTCTCACTTCGTGGCATTCCGCTATCTTTCTCTTCTAATCAATATCGCAACAAGTTGCAACCCGACCGGAAGACACGAGAAAAACTCTCTGGATTAGATCTGATATAAATATACAGCTAGATTTAATCTGATTTAGAAATATATTGTATATGGCATAAAATAAAATAAAATAAGATTATACATATTATACAAGTAGACTTTATACAATACTAATTATTTTTAAAATCATAAGTAATGATACAGTTATACATTTTAATTTATCTGATTCACTTTCTATTTTCTATTATATTTTTTTATATGTCAACTAAGGAGTAAAAGTATTCTGGAATTTTGTAAATAAAGAGATAGCTTGTGATGATTAATTAATTAAAAAAAAATGTTTAAGTTTATAAAGAACATTTAAGAACAAAGGCTAAATTATTTCCAAGCACAAACATAATTCGAAACATTCGAGCTTCAAATCGCGCCGAATGACCCTTCGCAGGACTTTTCATCCCCTTTTGCTCGAGTGGAGTCTCTCACGTAGCAACGTGCTTCTCCGGCGACGACAAGAACGCATGCGCGAGAATAACGAACGATTTCATTTTCGCTCGCGTAACAACCCTTGATAATTGTTAAACGGTTCGATAGATAGGAGCGATTGGTCGCAATGAGCTAGAAACTTCATTATCCGGGAAAACATTTCCATTCCCATGTTGTATTTTGAAGTAAAGATTATACGCGTATATTCGCTTTCGTCTCCACCCTCAATTGCCAAGATCGTTAGGTGCTGCCTCGTCCTGCGATTCCATCACGAGATTTTTCCGTCATTATTGATCCTTGGCGGGACTGCCGTTTACCTTGCTCCTCGAAACAGCGGAACTCGTGGGTGGGCAGAAATGGGTCAGGGCTAAGCGAAAGCGTGCCATGTTCCATTTTCACACGATGTTCTAGGCCCGTAACAAAGTGTCCTATTTATACTCCTTTCGAAAATATATCACTTGGCGTATTCACGTCCATCGTTGGTGCGAAGACATTTCGTATTTACCTTCAGATCACATATTCTACAGATATATATAGTATTACAGAAATATTATAATGTGCAAACTTTAATTTAACCTTTAAGTAGGTGACTACAGCACTCTACGCATAGTCATCTTAAAAACTTGGTTCTGGAAAAGGAAAATACAATATAAAGAATTGCCTAGAAGTCTTAAAGCTCATTATTTTTACATTCCTCTATCCCATAAGCATATAAATAATGTAAATTTATACATATTATTAAAAAATATAATTTTAAAAAAAGTAAAATTTGTTTACAGAGTGTTCTGAACATCTTACTTACCTACTTAAAGGTTAAGATATGTTAATAGTTAAGAATAGAAGAGAGCACGAGGCAAGGGTTTTTCTAAAAACTATTAGTAACATAAAACAACATCGATTTATTCAACACAAATACTTGCACGTTATGATAGAGGTTTGTAGTAATGATATAATAATGATAATAATATTCATATGTACACGAAATAAGGCACGTTTGATATATTAATTAAATGCGCGACAGGCCCGTGCGTGGAAAACATGGGTCTTTTTTCTTTCGGCGGTCGCGCGTTAGTCGCGTTTATAATTACTATCAATCGTCTCCGTCCCTTACGATATGCAACGTCCTTACCAACAGTAGAAAATGTCATATATATATATATATATAATCTGTATAAACGTCTTCGACCCTGCACTCTTGCGTTCGCGTCTGCTCGCGTCGGACCCTTAGGAATGAATCGCGAGGCGGATTCTCGCATGCGAGATTATCCGCGACTTACACAATCACACTCCCTAAGCTATTCAAATATGTCTCGTATAGCGCATTGGCAAAATTGCGGCTACGAGAAACTCGATTAATCCTAAAATGAGAATCGCTAGTTAGTCGTGTCTAACTAAGCACGCATTCGTACATGGGCCAGCGTTCGCTGCTTCCTTTCTCCCCTTGTTTGCGAATTATTTTTCGCAGTTAAACGTATATAACGCAATCATACGCCCACGATTAATTACACGCGAAATCGCAAAATCTAGCGCGACGCGGCTCGCGCGAAAAGTGCAGTCGCGCAACTCCACAATTTTCATTGCGATATCTGAACCTTTTTATTCGGCTGATGTTAACAGAGCTATGTGCGCTTTTTCTTAATTCTCGTCAAGAAAAAGTTCCATGTACATGATATTTGAATTTCTTTTGCTACATTTTTTTCGACATATAAAATTTTATAATTATGTTCTCAAAATGTAATGAAGAAAAGAAAAAAAAAGAATAAAATTGCGTCACATGATTCGTAGAATTAATAATAATACAGGTCAATGCCTAGTTCCAATCGTCGATTTAATAGTTATGCATTTCTGCACATGTAGCGGTATTTGTGATTTTGTTGGCACGCAAAAATTATTTTCAAATTTGAATACCTCGAAAACTTCACGGATGAATTGTTAGACCACTAGTTGTAAATTAGACCATTCTCAGGCGAACATGTTATAAATTTTTAAACACGTAACTAACAGGTAAAGACTTGTTAATGTATTTTAGATTTAAATCTTACTTTTATACGAAGACTGTATTATGCGCGTCGATTCTTGACCGCGCTCATATAATGATATGTAGCTAAAATTATAAGAAACGATGTTTCCTTATAAAAGTGTACTTTTATAAGGTATTCGCTAGCGAATTTACACATCCAACTAATCGCCGATTCACGATCGCGAGTCGTTCGCGGCTGTCGAAAGCGATGACGATTCGCTTACGATTAATAATTCATACATGTTCATACACTTAGTGACACTCTCTTAGACCTACTTAGGCGATACTTACGTTCTCTGAACTGGCATCAAGACATTGTATCTTATACGAATGTATTGTACAAACAGAATCAAACAATTCGTCTCCGGAATGTTTTACCGCTTTCCTCCTTTGCGCGTTTCTAATTAAACCTATGCGAATATCTAAATTAAAAACTAAAAAGAAAATATCATATATTCTCTTTTTGTCACACGCGAAATGTCGCCGTCATCGTCTCGGCGAGTCTGGAATGTAAAATTCACCTCCGAAGAGGTAGCAAGAAAGAGACTATAAACGATCGACGAATGCTATCGCGGATAATCGAATCGCCGATTAACGATATGACGTCTGGCAATTATTTTAATATGAGGAATGACGTTAGTGAATGATATTATTGCACTTTCTCGAAATATTTCTCTCGAACACCGAGAGAAGCGTAATTGAGAATAACTTGAAGGTAAACCATCTTTACTTATAAGCATGCTATCTCATGAGCCGTTGCATGAGAATAATGCAAATTGTTCAAACGCGATTTGCATTAAGGGTGCTATAATTCTCTTTGCGTTTTTCCCTCAAACTCGCACATGGCACTTCAAGAGTTAGCAGAAGGGCACGACTGCGCAGATATCGTCTAATACAATCTTCTGAAATCATTCGGTACACGCAAACACTAAGTGTTTTCATTAACGGCGATGTAGGTTCACTATTTTGTAGGAGTTCGTCCTTGGTTATAGCTTGAGATGGGAATATTTGAAATTTGGCACTTGATTTTTCTAAAGGATAACGGCCGCGTTCAAACTCGTCGAAAACATTTTGCAGTTCGTTCTTGAAATTGCTGTAGTATAGAGACAGAAAGGGAAATAATTCGCTACTCGTTATTCAGACGAACAATCAACGATTCGCTCGCTAAGATCGACACGACGTGTCGTTTCTATGACAGTATCAAGCATTCCGCTTCCCTTTTGATCCTCATGGAAGCGCGAATGATCAATGAACGAAAGTGATGATCGAGAGCTATTTCGATGGTCGATACAATCACGTTCGTTCACGACCACGTTCGAGCCAATCTCTCGTAATACTCTTAGTACTTAGGGCTATCAATATGAAACTCAAATCATAATCGATTCGAGCGCCATACAGTGCTCGGAACTTATTCTAATTAAATGCAGTTTCTCGAGTACAAAATTCTCAAAGTATACTGTTCTCGCAAACGTTTCGTTGCATCGATCGATCTTTTGTTTCACACATTTCAAGCTTGTCGATAAGAAGTCAATGATGGACCCTTTTATTCTCGATGATCGTTCCTTGAGAAAACGCGTGGAGTTTGAGTTGGTCCATCAAGTGATTCCGAGCGGTTCCGCAGGAATTTTCGCAATGTCTTGCGGAATTCGCGAGATTTATCTACCAAAGCGGGTTTTGGCGATTGAAAATCGTTTCCCTGGTAGCCAAGATCCGGCGCGATCAGAAGCGTGATTGCGATTGTGGGAATGACGACGCGAAAAGGCGCGGTATCACAGCTTCGATGGATCGTAATTCTCGAAGGACCATCTCTGTCTCAGGGCATTGGGCGAGCATTCTTCCATCACCAGTTGCTGCTTGCTCTCTGTAATCGCCAGACATTTGTCGCTGCTACCGTGCCTGATATGATTAGTCTGGAAACAGAAGTACGGGATGATTCCAGTTTCCCTTCGAAGAGCAATTTAAATCAAAGAAAATTAATTTCTAAATAAAAATACTTTGTAGCTAAATTGTTTCATTTAATATTAAAATCTGCTCTCATAGATTAGCAAAAGAATGTTTCGAAAACGGTTCATTACCTGAGGATTGTAGATCCATTGTTGATTTCCTTTACTGCCGTGACAAGGATAGAGAATAACGTCGCTGCCGCTGTAGTCCAAGCACGACTCGTCTCGACGGATTTCGCCCGTCTTGCTGAGCATCCAGTACTGCGTACAGACAATCTTGATTAATATTTCCAAGAATTGCAGACTCGTCTACGACCAGCGAGATTTTAACAGCCGGGGAAAAAAAAACAATTTTGCATGAACGATCAATCGGGAATAAAGAATTGCTCGTAATAAAATTCATAATAACACACGGGATATTTTGTTATTGTAAAAATGTAAAAGAATTCGGATAAAATTTCGATAGTTAATATGTATGAATTCCTCTCTACGATTTACAAAGCGCTCGTGCCTGTTTCATCACTATTCGTCTCCGATCAAACGATAATATTCACAAAATCGGAGATATGGTCAAAACGTAAACCGCGATAATGCAAAAACGTAAAATCGTTCGTTCCGCGCATTTAATCTGTCGCATTGCGTGCTCGCGGGATGTGAAAATAAGCATGGCGTATTCACCGCACCGGTGTATTATCATGAGCGCGCGACGACCGCGGGTGGTAGACGCGGATTTTCGCGGTGCTGCCGACCGTTCGACCGATCGATTGCACGCGCCGCTTGTAAAATAACTTGTCCCGGACGATCGTGCGCGAGCGAGCTAACGAACGTGTGCGACCAACAGTTATTTACCGCGGGCAATGTACGGGTTTGCACGAAGGTGAACGCGTGCGGCGCGGCGGAAGCGCGTCAAAGCGATCCGGCTCTCGTAATGAGCGCCGGTCGTCCGATAATGGAATCCGGTGGCCCTCGAAATTGCGCTTATCTAACCGGACGCCGCGCCGCGCCGCGCCGCGCCGGCTCCGGTCGTCGCTGTTTGTGCAATTCCAACTGCCTGGAATGGACAGCGAGTGTCAAGCCTGGAGCCGCATGTGTCGCTCATGAAATATTCTTTGTGCGATTCTAACTCAACGTGCCGAAGCGAGATTCAGAAACGCGAATTCATGCCGGCCCGGCTGTCGTCGTTGAAGTCACGACCAGTTCATTTCAGGGAAAACGTTTAGAAAAAACACGGGGCGGATAATAACGCGATAAATGAAAAAATGACGGCGCAAAGACTTGTCGCGGATCTGCATATATTCGCGCGATTATAATTATTACTAATTTAATACAATTAATGAACGAGCGCGGACTGTGAATTGGGATTATGCGGCTGTCAGAACCGTCGGGTCGACAATATAGTTGTTTTGAAGTGCTTTACAAGTATAATTAGGGGATAGTGGGTACGGGGGATAACGAGAAGCAAGCATTCACCGCACACATGTATCATCAAGCGTCGTTAGCCATGCACGACCCGCGTTCCATTCTGCCTGAAACTCTCACTCAAATCAGGCTATATTATGTTGCGTTGTCTGAAGTAGATATAATGCAAGTATGTTACATGTTATCTAACGCACAGAACATCGCTGTGTTCCATCTCGCATGCTTATCTCTATGACGTAACCGCATTACTTTTCGCACGTTGTGGAAAAAAAAACAAGATTCGAGAATGGCAAACAGCGATGGGATTTCGCGAGGGCGTTATCGGCGCGCATTGTGTTCGATAGTAGTAAGATTACAGCGGGACAGCGATGTTATATCATGATCTCTGAGCATGATGATAATTCTATGTATACAGCAGAGAGAGAGAGAGAGAGAGAGAGAGAGAGGGAGGGAGGGAGCAGATATATGCATTGTAGTGTCTCTGTAAACTGACCATCCGGCGCGGGCGACCGCAACCCGGCTATCTCTCGCGATGCACTCGCCTTCCATCCGATGATACGATTATTCATCTTCCATCATCCGCGCTCACGACTGATCCCGAATCGCCGGTGTGCATCCCAGCGCTGCGTCCCTTTTCCCCACGTAGCGTACAGGGTCGCGACTTTATCAGTGTCACGCGGGCGACGACCGAAAGCGTAATTGCCGTGAAACCGCGGCTTAATTGCGAGGGCAAACAGCTAAATTAAAGCAGCGCTTTACCGGACTAAGCAAGCACCGTCGACTGATTGTGTTTTTGGTTGTAACCGGTCGCCACGGTTGTTAAACGCCGGCGTTTCGGTATTCGCGTACACGTATACGTATTACGTGCTTGTACGTGAAAGACAGGAAATACCTACGCACGCGGGTTTCGGGCGCGTGTTTCGTGCAGTGTGTGAGCTCTGGCGAGCTCTAATAACAGACCGCGCAATCGACCGAACGAGTGCAAGAAACAAGATAAACCACGGATTTACATGGTACGCAGGTACGCTCGATTCCGTCGAGTGGCAAGCGTAAGCTCGCTAATAAATGAACGGAGTAGGTCGTTGATGAAATTGCTGCTGTTGTTTTTCGCGCGTTTATCCGCTCGCCCTGCATTGTCATCGACGTAGATAAAAGAAAAAGAGACACAAAAACATGATAAACAGTTACATCTTTATTCGACGTTTATTTTTGTCAAACCAATTATCAATTAAGCCTTCGTTTTGAGAGTTAAAAGTAGAGAGTTGAGCGATAAAATATAACACACGAAAAGATGAAATTTACATTGTGAAAAGATGAAAAGAATGGATAGAATTGTAAAAATGTCCAAGTGCATGCGATGTTTAGGCGATATTTGCACTTTGATATTCTCACTCTTGTTCGTGGGTTATGGGAGGAGTCAAGTCGATGATTAAATCAAAGTCTACTATATCAATGTGAGAAATGATGATAACATGGTAAGAAATCGTGCCAAAAGGCAGCAATTGGGGTCATCTCACCGAGAGGTAGTAGAGACATGGATTGATGAGCACCTGCACCAGATTAGCGACGTCACTAATCGCGTCGAAACGCAGGAGTAGGACGATTAGTGCCAGGTTAGCATGCACGCGAGCGCACATGCGTCCTAAGGATCAGTTGCAAATCGCTTTTACAAGTCGCGTAGATTTATGACCCCGAAACCAGATATTAGATCAGAAATATGCCTGCCACCCATCCATCGACCGATTAGGAAAGCTTCGATGGGTAATATCATGAATGTCCGTTAGTTACAATCAGTAATCATATCAGCTTCATATCGTTTTCATATCGGCTTAGTATTGTTTAAGATTGCTGGAAATTGACGGCTTCGCGAATGTGTACCTGATTGCCGCCTTGACGGTGACAGGGATACATGCCCACTGGCTGATGTAGGTCTTCGATTTTCCCTGATGAATCTATACACATTCCGCTAGTAACTTGTCGTATCTGCGTTAGAATTCAAGAGAAATTCACACGGTTACTCTGGGAACGTGAAAGACTCGCTCATCCACCAGCATTTTGTGCGACAGCGCACGATTTTGTCTTTTTTCGCGCCGCACGTTCGAGAATATCCAAGCAGCCGGAAGCGCGACACACATGGCATTGAATGAACAAGCGCGGGTGCGTCATTAGGCACTCGGCCGTTGTTGGGGAAATGATAATGGATCGATATATATCGCCAATGAAACGGAAACTCGATTTTCTAGTAATTTGGTATGTAGCTTCAATTAGCTTCGCAGTGGAATTACGAGACGCACATTTCGAAACGAGCAATCCGTGTACATTGTTTATTCACGCAGGATTATACGATAATAATTAAACTAAATACCGGCGGTTCGCAGTGACTAACAGGCGCTATCGTTGTTCCGTGGCTGAAAGCCGAAACAATCAGTTCATACAAGACAATCGAAAAATTTTGTAGAAACTAAATAGCTATTATTTTGCAATAAAAAAGGTAAAAGCGAATAAAATGAGATAAAACAGAATTAAAATTAAATACTATACTGTGGAAGAAGCATTTTTATTAATAGTGTAAAAAGAATATATGTGATAAAATACATTAAAAATAAAAAATTATAAAAGAGCCAATAATTCGTTTAGTTAACATAAAAGTGTATAATATATATTTTTAAAATAATAATTATCTGAACTTGTATAAAAAAATAATCCAGGCACTTTTAAAAACTATCAATGCACTTTCTAATACATATTTATAATTTTACCTTCGAAGCATTTTAGATAAACTTTTATGAAAATGCTACTCATAGCAAGGTATTCTAAATATATTACTGAATGTGAGTCATAAAACTAGCCAAGTTTTTTTTAATGTTGATTTATAACTATTTATATTATACAATCTAGAAATGCAGATTTTTGCTACCTAATCAAAATAACGAATTTCTCAGGGTGATATTCGATTCATTTCATTTCGTTTCATTCTGTTCGTTCGTTAATATTATAAAATAACAGCTATTTAATTTTGGCAACTTTACAATTGTCATTTTGTATGTCGAGCAGCAGAACAATTGATTGCCATCAATATACAATTCACCACACCGGTCGCATACATATTAAATTCTTTGATTTATAAATTGATTTATACTACAACTCAATTTATAAATCAAATTAACAGAAATTTGATTACTCATAGAATCTTTAATTTCTATTACATACGTATTATCAATTTTGACACTGTGATGTAATAAAACACGTTATTCTGCAGTGGATATACTGCCGTAACAAACAGTAAACGTTCAACGTCTCGAAATATAGTCGAGCACATGCCTATGTATAATACTTTCAAACGCGATCACAAAGTGACAGCGTGGAGAACTTTGAAGCCGAATATAAAAACAAACCAAATTCAACAAAAATCGTGTTTCCGTTTTAAACTTTGAGGACAACAGTTGCACACATCAAGCATGGACACGAACATTTCATGGGACAATGTGTTTTGTGGTCAAGAAAATTTTTAAGGTGGATGTCTATTGTACCTGATTTCCACCCTGTCGATGACAGGGATATAGTCCGCACGGTTTGTGCAAATCGGCCTTGCGAGCGGGCGAGTCCAGACAGGTGTTACCGCCTTCGCCGAGGTTTCGGACCTGTTTGTTGTTAGTAATTTTTTCGGACATTAGCGTGTATCCGTCGCACCGTTAGTAATACCCAAGAATATATGTACATATTAATAAACAGATTACTGAGAAAGTAACATCAACGATGTGCCATTTGGACATTTCTGTTTAACATTTTTGTTATTTCCTCGACTTGACATTTCATCATGAAACTTTGGAATTAAAATGGAAAATTATTCTCGATTAAATTAATTAAATGCGAATGAGTATTCGGTTCGAAATATCAATGCAAAATCGTTGACGCTTTGCCTTATTAAGATCAGAGTATAAAAATACATCACGCGACGCTTTTATACATGTAAAATAATATCATAATTAGATTAATAAAAATCCATGTTTCTGTATTTCTGGTAACAAGATTCGTTGACTCAATCTCTCGCGAGAATTCTAAAACAGGGTATGAAAAGGCAAAAAAGTCACGCTTTTCGTTGCGCAATGATTCTTTTTTTTTTCATGCACAGATTCTGCGGTATGCATGCCTGGCAAAGCGGGGACCGCGCAGACCGCGGATTGCGTTCTCCATTTTTCAAATAGACGGAAACAAATTGAAAATGAGGTCTGCTCGTATTTCGCTCGGTCCGACGCGTGTGTTCATGACCAAACCATACGATGTACGTGTGTTGCGTGTGTGCATGTGCGAGTGTGTATGTGGAAATGTGTGTATGTGTGCACATACGCCTGCGTGTAACAGCAGGTGCATTCAGTTACGGCGCTCGGTCAGCAGTCCTGATTTCACTGCATGCAAGAATTCTGTGGTCGTTGCAGTTTCAACGTGAACATCTTTATTCCCTTCCCCTCCTCTATCCCGCCCCACCCCTGTGTCTAACCCACGCCTTCACTCTCGTAGGAGTCGTCCTCGTCGTTGGCGTCCTCGTCGTCGGCCGACTGGAATAAAAACTCGTGATTTATAACCAGATATCCTGGAGGTCGATAAAATTTTCAAAGCTCCTGCTCCGTTGGCATTATTAAAGGTAGCTCGAAGGCTCTTAGTGAACTCAATGAGAAATGTGATCTGGTATTTAGACAACTTTACGATCCTAACTCTGCAGAGAGTTGGAGAGCTCGAAATAATATAATACCGCGGAAAGTCACGTATTTCGGACATTTTTTGAATTTCATACCTCATTATTTTATAATCCAAAGAAGAACGTGTCTCCTTCAGTTTTCCCTCGGTAAATCTCTGTATTCATTCGTACATGAGAAAAAATTGACTAATGTTAACAGTGATTTTTCAAGAATATTTCTAGAAAGATTATATGTATAACAAGCGCTGCATTCAAAGATATTATAAAGGCTTTATTAAAAATCATATTGTAGGATGCGGGATCGATGCAAGATTGTAAGGGTTAAACAAAACCGCGTTCCGTTTTGCGTTTTTATCATTTCATGCGGTTTTGCATAGGAAATCCATGCAGTTCGCGTAGAACGACTCAAAAATCGTGGTATACCCCCGGAGAAATATACGCCCTCCCCTGTGCGCACGTACGTAGAAACACGTGCACATTCGAAATTATTCACGTCGTGTACGATTTCTGGACCGTCGTAGAGCCGTGTGAACTATAAATCCAGTCATCCCTCTTCCTCCCATACGATAGGAAGGTCGAGCGTGATTTAGCCGTTTCTGCAAAAGCAAATAAAAAGTAAAGAGAGGAAAGGGAAGGGGGGAGAGAGAAAGAGAGAGAGAGAGAGAGAGAGAGCGCGCGCGCGTATGTGTGTAAAGGGTGGCGAAGGTGAGAAACTCGGATAGAAGACAGTAGGAATATAAGTTTCGCCTCGAACGGAATTGTTATTTTGTGTGCAATGCGACAATGAAGTCCGAAATCCTCGTCGCACATAAATTCTGTTATTGTGAAATTGCCGATTGCATTTCGAAATGCAATCGAAAACGGCAATGCGAAAATAAAGTTTCGGATTTCGAAATTGTTGTTTTAAAGAGAATCTGGAATTTTTTTAAATAAGTCGAATTTATATTTAATTAGAAGTATATTATGCATTATATAGAAATACTGGTTCTATGTAGACGAGTATTGATTATTTGTCAGCGTTACGTAAAAATTATGATAAAATTTTCTGCAGACATTTTAATATTAAAAGAAATTATTAAAACTTCTAATTCATAAAAATTCATGTTAGATTAGTAATAACTAAATAAATAAGGTAAAATTTGATAAGCTATTGTAAAATCTCTTTGAGTTTATGTGTATTAAAATAAAGATAGAGTCTCTACTATCCAAGATTATATGTCACGAGAAAATAAGCTTACGCATGAATACGTATTTCCTATTTTCTTAACAAACGCGTGTCGATATTCTCGACAACAAATAGCAACTTAGAAATGATTGCGTGCGGATAATCCCGGATCGGCAAAAACGAGTTCTACCGGCATGCCGTGCAACTTAAATTGTTATTTCGTGTGTGGCATGGATCGCATTCCAAAGTGCGCGACCACGTAAATGCTACTTCGCGAAAATGCGCGCCCATCCTTTATACATTCCTCCTTTTTCCATGATGCTTCCTTTTAGTTTGCCTATTCTGCCTGCTAGTGAATGCCAGTGTCAGTGCGCTTGGACAGAGAAAGAAAAGAAGGGGCGAAAAAAAAAGAAGAAAAGAAAAAGAGCGAAATGCATTCCTTGCCTTATCCAGGGGAAAACGTGAGTGGATCGCAACAAACGACAAGGCAAGCAGGCAGGAAGGGGACAAGGGAAGTAAAAAGCGACGAGGGACAAGGGGATTGGTCGATAGTATTCGAACTGCCGAACTATTTCGAATTCCGTTGCTTTTTATTATCATGTTCGATCGGAATATTGCCTTCACACGGCGGAACGCGTGTACATACCGTGTGTCATGTCGGCAGCGCCGTGAAATTGTGATTCGCGAGAACCGTGGTGCCATGACCAGCGGCTTTTGTCTAGCAAACAACGCGACGGAGTGCCACAATTTGTGCGCATGAATACGTGCGTACGAAACACTATGCGAGCATATATCTCAATGCCATTTCATCCTCAACAAACATACTATACCTATGTAAAATGAAATGCAATGAAATACAGAAACATATACATAACTGTCGATTTCTTAATTTTTCGATAGTGTGATGAAAATTGAATAGCGAACGTGAAAAATAAATTACTTAGGCAAAGTCTAGTCCTAATTTTACGTGTTACCTATATAATTTGCATTAACAAATTCAAGAGCTTTATGTTGGATCACACTCCATTTTTTCAAATATGGCAGAGAAGTTGAGGAATGAAAAATTTAAATTCAGCTAAACACATAATTTTTAAATTGTCTTTCTGTGCAAAAATAGATATGTTAAGTATAAATATAAAGATTAATCGTATCGAAAAAGGTCAGTTATAAGTGTCGCTATTTTCTAAATATATATTTTTGGAAGAAATGGAGAGTTGGTATGTGTGCATCAGATTAAAATATTTTTAACTTCTATTCTTACTTTTCAATTTAAAATTAAAAATATTTTAATTTTATCGAGTGCACACATGCCTCCATTTCTGCCACAGTTCTCCATTTCTTCCAAGAATATTTATTCAAAATAAAATTCCATCTATATATATATATATTTTTTTTTTATTTTTATAACATGAAGTATATTTATATATTTTTTTTTCAACACACACACATATATATAGAATATTAGAAATTATAGAAATTAGAATTAAATACAATACATTCCCATTTTTTGTATGATATGAGCTAATTTCTGCCTTTCGAATCGTAGTTGTCAATAAATAATCATTTTGTGAATTGTATAAATCTTTGTCCATCAAGTGTATGAAACGAAATATTTATCACTGGACGACACACATCCCTAATAGCTTTCGGTATTATTAAAAGCTAAAATATTTCTCTGATAAGGGAGCAACGAGACGCGCGCTCGAAACTTACTCGGAATTTCCGGTACAGCGAACTTTAGTATGCCCGGTTATCTTATACGGCGTGCACGGAGATAGGCGCGGAGGACGAAGATGATCCTGATACGAGAAATTCAAGTGAAGTGTGAAGATAACGAGACGTGCCGAGACCGGGCGTGAAAAAGAGACGGCCGAGGTGAGAAAGAGCGCACGCGGAGGGTAGACAGAGATAAATGAGAGTAAGGGGGATGGGCAAGAGCACGAAATATTTGAGTCGCGTGACACTATGACGCCTGTAATGCAAGCCGAGGTTTAACCCCCGCAAGGGAACGCTACGATTCTCTATATAGGGTTGAAAATAGGCGGGGATGGATGATAGAATGCATTATTCAATAACACGACGATTAATCGACAACATAACCGAATGTCGTGTTGCGGAACGCAACGAAATATCTGTACGCAAAACGTTGAAGTTGTATATTATCGTTACGTCGTAACGATAAATGAGAGAGACGATCAGAATTTTGTGATGAATCAATTTAACAAAATTAGACTTTATAACAATAATATGAGTAATAAAACGCATCCATTGGATCGTAACCGATATAATGTCTTAGATAAATGTGAATAAATATACCTATCTCATATTTTTGCTGAATTCTTGAAGTGACGCGTTTTACTTCCTAGGTTTGGATTTTCTGCGAGAACAAAAATTCCGAGGAAAAAAAGGCTTTACGCTGCAAGCGTTTTACTTTCTTCGCGACTGCGTTGAACATTGTGTTAAACACCGGTGCACCGGTTGCTGGGTTAATGCACTGTTGGCTTATGATAAAATTAAAGGAACAAAAGGAAATTGGAAGGAAAGTGAGAGAGGAAGAATGATGAAGTATGAAATATTCGTGTCGCGTGACGCTGCAATTTATCCGTCGGTGCAACGTCGTTAATACAGGTGCCTACGTACCGTGACTTTGTCACGGAGCGGCACGCTGCTGCATGTGAAGAGAGTAACGTGTAACGATCCGCGTGGAAATGCAAGCTACCCAAGTTGGGAAGGCGGATTTATTCCTCGATAACGGTTGCAATCATTTTGCAATTACGAATGCAGCGGAACGGAGTGACGCGGATAGCTAACGCGGTGAAAATAAATTGTGAAATAACTAACAGTCTGTGCCCCGAATCGCGTACATATCGAAACGAATTGATTAATAAAACACGTCAACAATATTGGCGGTGACGAGACGCCGATAAAAGATTGATTAAACGCGCAGAAGCGGTTACTGGAACTGGAAACAGCCGTGAATAAATCACACGTGGATGGAAATGGTGCGATATCACGAATAAATTTCTACATCTGTAACGAGAGGAGACCCATTTCGACAAACAAATTTATAAGTTTTTCACTGGCATGGAACTTAATAAAACAATCAAGAATTTACGTCCTATTCTTCTCGTTCTCTTATATGTCTTATGACGATTTGCATCTTTGACAATTTGGATTACTCGTGTCCCTGTGAGTAATCCAACAGTGACAATATCGTTACGAGCAATCGCGACGAGATCCGACAATCATTCCGTAATTACTGATATACCAAGACGGAATACAGCAAAAGAGGAGGAAGAGGAGAATGAGGAAGCGAGGAAGAAAAGGAAGGAACAACACAACGGAAATAAATCTTCGCGTGATTGATCGTTTGCCATGAATCGCGCGTCCGAGCGATATTAATGCACTATCAGTCGTGACGGGTTCGCACGGATGGCTCGCGTGTACCGCGCGTGTAGCTTTGACGAGTCTGTCGCTCGTCGCCTCTGCCCGATATTTATGCGCACGTTTTTTTCGCAGCAAAACGAGGGTTATGAGAAAAAAAAGGCAGCTCCGTTTCAAATTTCGTACGCGTCGGGATACAACTGCGTTTTTGCTACTGCATTTTTGTTCCTCCTTCTTTTCTCGCTCTTCTTTCCTAGTATGTCAATGAGTCCTGGAATATGAAGGAGCTAGCATCACCGTGAAATCTATCGTAGTGTAACGGTGCAGCATAGAAAAAATTCGGTTCCTAATTGATTAATAAAGTTTTGCGACTAGATATCTTATCTATTATTCTTGCCTTCATTCATCAAAAGCATTGAGATCGATTAGAATCACAGTATTAATATCTTTCTTTGTATTTGGAAAATAAAATTAGCGATTAAGGGGAGAGAGAGAGAGAGAGAGAGAGAGAGAGAGAGAGAGAGAGAGAGAAGTTTCTCATTAATAAAATAATTTAATCATATTTCATGATATGGAGATATAATTACTTTTATCAATAAAAAAGATCTGATTAAACTTAGATATTTGATCATTTTCCACTTATTCTATTTTTAATGTGATTATATTTGACTTTGAATCCTGTTTTTCTAAAAGAAACATTACGTTTAACATCAACAATGAAATGAGGATCAGGTGCGATGAACATGTTCGAAGAAAAATTTCCGGATTGCTTTTACAGAGAACCGAAAGACAACTTCTTCTAAGAGCGTTTGCTTTGTAATCAAGTTGCATTGGCAAAACCAACTATACTGCGTAGCCTAAGAATCTATAATATCGATCTGTGGGAATCGATTTCCGATTAGATATCGGACAAGCTTCCATCCGCAATCCGATCGCAATTGCCCCGACCACGATTCACATTGTTTCGCAATCAAAGCGGCATGTTTCCAGTGTCATGAGCTCGTCGACACCGATCAACGCCTCTTGCTGCTAATATTCAAACTCGAGGAAACGTATTAATTAATTGAAGAACAAAATTTTACCGCTTTACAACATTTAAGCTTAATTTGCCGAAATTGCGTCATATTTAAATATTTTTTTTTTTTTTTAGTAAAAAGCTAATTAAAAAGATGTAATGAGGTAAAAATTTTTCACTTTTTATCACGTGTCAAAAATGTTACTATAGCAACAAATATCACGATCGAAAAGATATTCGTAGCTTATACAGAAAACAATATAAAAGAAGAATAATTAGACTTTTTTGATATATATGACTCTATCTATCTAACTGACTACATTTCCTTTCACAAAGAGCCTTCGAATGTTGTAACCCGACACCTTGATGGATCAAAGCCACGACAACGTCGTTAAAGAAGGAACTGGTCGTTCCTTCATCGTTTCCGCTTTCTCTTCCTTCATTCCGGTTGGTGGTATTTCTCGGGCCGCGTAATGTCAGCAGCCGCTAAAAAAAAAAGCATTCAAGAGGAGAATGTGGAGTAGTCTTACCTCTCCGGAGGCGACTGCCTCGCCCGGAATGAAGAGTTCCGGGTAAACGTTGTCCAGGTACCACTTGAACGACTTGCACCCCAGTTTCTTCCTAAGAGCTTTTCGCTCTGATATGTCGCCATAATTCCCCTACAAAAGTTCAATGTGTAGTCGAATTATGCTTACAATAAAGGGTAAAAAATATGAAAATCGTGTAGATATAAAAATAAACATAAAGAGAGAGATTACAAAATATAAAAATAATGATTAAAAAATTTATAAAACAAAAATTAAAATAGTTAAAGAATAATTATCAATTAAAAATAAATCGTGAATAAAGTAAATTTATAATTCATAGGACTTTCATATCCCTTAGAATAGAAAATATTTGTTAAAAAATTTTTTGCTATAAGTCAAATTAAATCACAGAAACAAAAAATTTATGAAGAGAACAAAAAAATTGATGATACAAAGTTTCGTTCTTTTTCATATTTTATAATAATTATTTTTCAATAATAAAACGCTGCTTTATTTTTTATTCAACACTGGACCATTTTATGTTTCCAATGCTGTCTAACACAACCATCGATATTACTACTGCGAACGTTAACTTACGTCTAAAAATAGAGATAAACAAAGAGCGATTTATCTCATTACATTATGAAGCCATCCATGAGGACGACATTCTCGATAGATTCGATCATTACATAGAGCGACGTGCTTACGGAAGCGATTTATTCTCTACGCTTCGATTTATCTCGCCGATTGGATCTCGGCAGGAGAGCAGGGGCGGACAAGCATCAAGGATAAATGACAGATCGTTATAGAAAGGGACGAAAGAAACGTCCTTCGACGGAGGAGAGCGAGGACATGCGCGCGAGCCTTAAGGGCACTTGGCGCGTTTATGGCCCTTTTTACGACAAGTCTTGGTCTACGATCCTCTCCATCATCGCCCACCTTTATCGTTATCCTTCATCCCATTCCAACCAACGCGTTCAGCCAATGTTTACGGGAAACTTGGATTAAAGAAACATACTCGATGGTTTACCGATACAGTGGTAAAAAACGGGATCTTTAGCTCACGATATAAAAGATAATTTATCACTAATTATCTATTTCCTGACAGAAATGAGTGTGTGCTAAAACTCGATATACCTTCGAATATAGATTTTTAAAAATTATTCCTGTGTTCTGTGTCCTTTATATTATAGAATGTTGCTCTATCTGCTTCGTTTATGCGAATATTGTTAAACGTATCGTCGGTGTTCATTTTCATTCAATCATATAAAATTCTTGTCTTATTTTATTTTCCGCATCGTACATCGATCATACTATGATAACGCGCTACTTGGATTGCTCCCCCGTTGCATTTGCACAAGAGATCGTATATGAAAGGAAAGTTATGCATGCGACGATGCAAGTACTCACCTTGTCGTGACCTATCCTCTGATAATAGTACTTGGCGTATTCGTCCAGCCACACTTCGCTCAGTCTTATGCTGTTCCTCTTGAGCACGTTCACGCCGTTGCGCCACTTGTAAGGCGAACGTTTCCTGAAGATGTGACCCACGTGCGAGCACGGCACGATTTCCAGGGTGCCTGAGAACGCGTTGAGTTATTAGATTAACATTTTCATTCGGCTGAATTATACGTTTACATGTTGCCTAATTGGCTAATTTCGAGAATCGTGTAAATGCAAAGTGCAATAAGTAAAGCATGAAAATAAAAAAAAGGAACATTTGAATAAAAATATAGATGTGTGCAATATCTTTTTCGAAATAAAGAACAACGAAAATATAATACATAAAGAGAAAACAATTCGCATTTAGCGACAAGAACGAAATAAAAAAAAAGATAATGAATTCCTCCATGTTATAAGAGTCTGCGGTGACTCAAGAACTTCAGTTTCCTAAATTAGAAAAACAAAACCTTTTTTTGTTGCTTATCATACTTACCTCCGCACATCCAGGTTTTAAATGATAATTCAAGATTCTCGCCGCCCCATATGTCGAAGCCGCTATCGTACGTGCCGATCCGTTCGAAGAAGGCTCGGTCTATTGAAAAGAGGCCGCCAGCCATCGTTGGTGACCAAACGGGTTCGGCCGGGTTTTTGTGCCTCTTCCTCTCCCTCTCTGGTACCGCGTGCCAATTGAACTTGTTAACAAATGTTGATATATGTCAAGAATCCGCCCGTAAATGGTCATGACTTTTTAATCATAAAATATTACAAGTTGATAGTATTACAGCTTTATAAAATGAGACTTAAAAGTCATTTTTAAAATTAATGCCTCACGATTACATTTTCTAGTTTTATTTTTTTTTTAATCGCATCTTGTTAATTTAGAAACAAAGAACTTAAAAAAATATATATGTAAAACACTTTCTATATAATTAAATGCAGTCTCACAAAGTATCTTTTAAATTACGCGGTATATCAATTTCTTTCCGAGTAAATAATTAGTTTGGTGTCACGCTGTCGCGTGTGAAAATCAATTGCATTCCGCCAAGACAGACGTAGGTATTTTCTACCGTTTCCCAATGTTCGCAAGAGAACGACGTGAAGATTTCGTTTACCTGGAGATTCCAATCGAATCCACCGACATTTACACCACTCGAGTCGCGCCAGTGGTATTCCAGGGTAGTGTCGTCTATAACATCGATCACCGGACAAACTACCGTCGTCGGATCGCGCGCGATCCGATCCAGAAGAGGTTCCAGCCAGCCCTCCGTACATTCACAATGGCTATCCAGATACGTGAGGACCGGAGCTTTGGCCGCCGCAGCGCCTAACAAGCGCGCCCTGATAAGGCCCTCACGTTTATTTGCCCTGATAATTCTCACTTTTGGATAATTCATCATATAGTCCTCCAATTGGCGCTTGAGATGAGCTGCGAAAGGATTGATTTTTCGTTATTTCATGCGACGAAGCATCGAAATAACAAAATATTGCGACGGGTAATTAACTTAAATATTTCTATATACATTTAGTTGTCCTATATTATATCTTCCGTTGCGTTATACTAAATGGAGTATTTGTCGCATCGTTCTATCTTAACATTAAAATATCCTACATCCTTTTTATAGGAAATGTTGGCATTTAATATTAAACAGTCACATAATTCATGGCATAATCTCATAATACGTGACGCAGCGTTATTGACGGAACTTGTCGTCTTTAATATCAGGATTTGCTCGAATATTAATCTCGCGGACCTGTAGGTTTTGTCTCAACCGTTGTTTGCTAGACCTCCGCCGATTTGAAATATAAGTTGCCCGTAGGATCTATGCTTCGGCGAACGATAAATGCAACAATAAAGTCACGTGAATGTACCCGTTTCTCTAGATTTCTCTAAAATCGATTACGTCCTTAATGTCAGATTACGGTTTATTTACGATGTCATTCGCAAGCTGTTGCGGTAACAACAATCACCTTTCTCATTGTAGATTTATTCCCTAATCACAATAAATTTAATCGTATGTTAGATAGAAATAACGATAATCCTGGTATAACGTCATTTTAATGACATTTACATATATACGTGTTATTAACATTTTATCATCTGGTAAAAAAGTAGCCACGATAGCTGCTTATAGTTCTAATTAAGATTATATACGCTAAACTAGCCTTTAATTCGCCATTAAGATATCTTAATGATTAAATAAAAAAAAGGGACGTAGTTCACAAACTTTTGAAGGTTTGTTTGGCTAGAAAATAATAGCTTTATAAAGTTGTAATAAATATTAGTATTGTTATTATTATCCGATTAAAAGGTGGAGTTCATGTATTTTAGGCGATTTGGGAAGTACGCACGGATCGTTGGGTTCATCTTTTTTCTTATTCAATTTTACTTACTGAATTACAAAATCATGGTTAAAATTGTTCAAGTATTCGGAAAATATTTTTTTTCACATCTTGAACAAGAGAAAGCAACGGTTGATTTTATCATTTTGTTGAATCATATCTGCGAATTTCTCTTTGTTTTGATATAAAAAAAAGTATAAAATGTTAAATATTTCGTAGGCTATTAATTTTTGGATAATCTATATCTTCAGTACAGTAAGTAAAATTGAGTAAGAAAAAAGATAATCCCTGCGTGCTTCCCAAATCGCCTAAAATACATGAACTCTTTTATCGCTGCAGCATTTTATTATTTTTGAATTAAGAATCTCATAGGATCATATACATGTGAATATACAACCAATAGGAGATCCAAATGCCTTTTTTAATAATCTAGTTGAATCTTAAGTGTTTTCTTATATAATTTTATGTGAATTTATATATACTACGTATGTATGTAGTCCTTTAAATTGCACGCCAAAATGATTTTTCAATTTTGAAACGGAAGCTCCATAAAATTACTGTAGTAATATCACAAATTAAATTGACTAGCAATTCGATGCCCATAAGCATCTTAGAACGATATCAATAATGCTGAATGACATATTAAAATCTGTAAATAATTTTATTGTGAAAAATATTACGTCGGCCGGAGATCGATTTATTGTTGTTTTCAATTCTTTTATCTGTTTTTCATTTGAATATATACACAATCTTGATCTTAAAAAAATAATTCCGATATTATCATTGAAAATCTTCGATGTCACTTGTGTGGATGTTTCAAGATCTCATTGTCAGTATTATTTTGTATTATTTCTGACAAACATAAGCGAGATGTAAATTTATAACACGTATCTGCCTATAGTTACGGATCGCTAGGCAGCAATTAGCAGATATTCGTGATTTATTCTCCGTTAGGATGGCTTTATGAGGGACTGTACCACTAATCCTAAGCCCCTGCCCTGTAAGCTCGGTTAACTATGAATAGTATAATGGGATTCCATGGATCAGCGTGTTTCGTGCAAGCGTAATGATTACCAGACGAGACACTTGATTTTATTCCCTTTTTGTTGAGCTGCGCGTCTGATAAGCTTTAATACAAAATCGTCATGCTCGATTGCCATTCAGCTATTCCGTATTGCGTATCGATTCACAAAAAGAATTTTTTCGTGCCGAGATATAGGAAAATATATAGAGATCGTTGTACGGATCTCGCTGGTAGTTAGTCTCGAATCGAGAAAATGTTCCTTTTGAAGTATACTAAAGTGTGTTGAACGAAGCGCGCTACGTACTCGTTAGCTGCACTCGAACGAGAAGAGATGGGAGATGGACCGTAAGAGATTAGAGGTCAGACATTTAATGCACGCGCAACCGGCTCGCGCGCGCGGAATCTGCGCGCATTCCAAACCGAATTAATTTCTAATGAATTCCTCGAACACACAGAGGCACGCATAAACCGGCCCTGGCCATTATTGCAGATTTCATTATGACTTTGCTGAGTGCACTATATGAGGCGTAGATAATGGAACCGCTCAAAGAGCGTAGTCTGTCGCCGTCGAGAGCGCTCATAATTAACTCTGTAATCCCCGTCGCCAATCCCCTTTATAAAAGCTAATTATCGTGCGTGAGTTTTGCCGAGAAAGGCTAAAGTCTATGCTGTAACATTCATTACAACTTTCTTGTGGACTTTATTAATCATTGAATTCATTTTAATCCACCGCGCGTTTTGGCGTATAAAGAGATAATTTTTTAATATAATAAAAAATTATCGTATTGTATAATATATACACTGAAAAAAAATATAATCAATTTTAATAAATATTTAGTTCAATACTGCCAACTAAACATTTACTTACAATAAATAAATATTTGTTCAGTAAAAAGAATGATTGTTAAATCAAATTAATGTTTCTTGTATCAAATAAATATATCTTTATATTTAATAAATATTTAGTTGGCAGTATTGAACTAAATATTTGTTAAAATTGACTATATTTTTTTTCAGTGTAATATCCATATAATTGAAATAAAATATTCGGTGACTAATAATAAGAAAATAATTATATATAAAGAAACTCTCGAATTATTATATATATGTTGTAATTTTAAATAAAAGCATGCATAAATTCATTTATCGCGTTCGCATTTTTTAATCTATCTTTGCGAAAAAGGAAAAGCACGTACGAGATACAGTGTTATAATCTCCTTCTGTGATAAAATCAGTTGTCTGTTAATAGTATATAGAATATTGGCCAAAAGATTGCTGAAGCAAGTGATTATGTTTATAGGTTTAACTTCCGGTCGGGACGAGAGCTTATCTTGAGCTTTTAATAAAGATTGCAGCAACTATCCTAGCTATATACACTGTTTTCCCGAACCCCCAGCTTAATCTCAGACATCCTTTCTCTCAGAATTTTTATGTTCATCCGTCTGTATTATTCGGTAGGATTCCATGCGATTAACCGATTGTCCTTTCTTCGATACGATTAAAACAAAAAGTAATATAATATTTTTAGTTCAGGAATGTTGATGCAAACCTCTATTCTAAAATTGATATTTTATATGTATCGACGCATGGTGCATATTTTTTAAATATAACTGACGCTCGTAAATAGTTTATATAACTATAGATCTTTTTTTTGTTAACAGTGATTCCAGTTTTACTAGTTTTGTAATTTAGATTTCGATTTAGTGGCTGTTGTATAAACGTCAGTTTATTCGAAAACGTGCAACTACGTTGAAGCTATAATTGCCTTTTGCATCCAAACAATGCGTACGAACGTACATATTTGTTTCGCCCGCATTTACGAAATTGCATGTTTCATATATTTCTATCAACTTCACGTATGTGCCTTTAGGCGAGAAACATGTATTCCGACAGATGAATATGAATAATCACAAACATAGTTTTTCAAATTAATAAAGACATCAAAACTTAAACAATGACAAATATTTCTTCACCGAAGTGTACATATATAAGTACATTTTTTATTTCTTCATTTCGCAAAACAGCATTTATTATATAAAAAAATTATAAAAACAGCTTTAGTTTTTTTTTCTTTAAAATTCCTTTTTCTAACAAGTTTAGAGCAAATAAAAAATTTTTTTAAATCTGAAATTCAAAAATAAAATAAAATGTAGAAAACGTAGAAACGAAATATACATTTTAATCTGAATTGTCACACGTAGCGATTTGCTGTTCCGACTGATAATTTATAGTTTAATTAATTTATAGTTTCTGAGATATTAGAAATATGGAAATGTTAGATTTCTTTAAGTGTTCTCGATGTTAGAATCAAATTAGAAAATTGTTATATAATTATAAGTATACATGTACTTTATTTTTGCAAAGTTCCAGATTTTTACGAGTTTTCAGATTGCTGAACCTTTCTTCTAAGTATTTCCCCATAGCTGTAATTTTCGATACAATATAGTAGCGCGTTCACGCCCGATTTCAGAAAACGAGAACAAGTGAGAACGTTAAACTTATAGAGAGCCGAGCAGCAGAGTTTGTATGACCCTCGTAATTTTCAGGGTGTCTGTAAAGCAGGCTGAGAGTTTCTCTTCTATTCACGTCGCGGCGACACAGTAGAGAGATGGATCGCAATTAATCGATCTATCGCAAAACTACGAAACACTGTCGCGATAACGAATCACCGTTCTGAATAGAGACGCGGTTGCACGAGCAAGTACGCGAATATAATGGTTCGCGGTTTCCGTTCGCGTTCTGTGCTTACGAGTTCCCCTCTTGGCGTTCTATCGAGGATTTTTCATCGCTCGGCGATGAGAGCTGCACGAGGATTTATGACGCTACGGAAACGATATGCTATTCCGCTTCGATCGCGCGTAGAAGATATTTCGTTTTGAATCTAAAGTACGTGTGCGGTTCGAGCGATAAAGCGAGAGTAACTCGTCTACTTTTCGCTTTATACGGAAGAAATATCTTAAATATATCATATGTCACGCAATAGAGATACAAATTACGTATTAATTTTCCCCGATGAACGATCATATAAATTATTTCTCGTAACTTTCCGGTATCGAAAACAAAGTTGAAATCTGTTTTTTGAACCACGCATAAAATAAAGTCTATTGCGCGTTATTATGAAATTCGACAATTTTAACTTTCTGGAGTTGACGGTAGATCCATTGAGCGCATTCAATTATAAATCTCTTTGTTAAAAATGTCAATTCAATTCTTTTTTATGTTACATTATGCAAAAATTTGGATTATTCTTAAAATTATACAAGAGAGAACCGTTAGAACTCTTTCATTGATTTTGATGGGCTTTGTTGGATTTTGATGTTTGATAGAGCATCAAAAGATATTAGATCCAGCATATTTTTTATATGTTTATCTCTAAGACTTAGGGATCGACAAACCCCGAAGAATAAGGAGAACTTTAAAAATTTGACATTTTCGAAAAATATGACACTGTTATTAAGAGTATAAAATACCATAAAACTTTTGTATAAAACAATTATTCATATACCTGATAGTTTCAAAGATATTCGAAAATGAAACAATCCGTTTTATTATCGAGAAGTTATTTTCAAGATGTTGTTTCATCTCATAAATCTGAAAATAAACAGATGAAAAATAATCTAATATTTTTTTATGCTCTAAAACATACCCAAAATCTATCAAAATCAAGGAACAGTTACGATTCCTTGTTAATATTTATTCTTTTTATACGAGTTATGTTTATTAATTCTCTCTAAATCTGAATCAATGAATAATCACTGATATCAGTGCCAAGTATGCCACTGGTAATCAGTGAATTAAATGTGAGATCCCTAACCTAGCTAATCTTTATTATGTGATCTAACTAACTTTGTTTTAATGCTTAAATTCAATGAATATGATATTGGAAGATTGAAATTAACGTGCAAATATCAGTATTTTAGTTATATAATGCTCAAACATTCTTTCTTTTTTAGTTGAACTTCACTGATTATCAGTGCCAAATATGCTACTGGGTAATTAGTGACTATCCAGATTTAGAGAGTTTGATTCCTTAAAATTAGTGCCTTTTAATTAACATAAATTAAATAGGTCTCACAGATGCAACGTCAGTAACAGTGTTACAGATTTTTACGTCAGATTCGAAGGATTGAGGAGATAATAACGAATTTGTTAACTTTTCTGTATTAGTAGAAAAACAGCTTACGCATGTCGGAGAAATCATCGACCAGAATGATTTCCTGTATGAGATGTTCTGGCGATCTATCCAGCACGGAATGCACTGTACGCAACAACACAGACCAAGCTTCGTTGTGGAAGCAGATAATTACTGCTGTAGGCGGAAGGTCCTTCAAGTACCTACCAGATTCTTTACACCTAAAACAAAAAGAATCAAAGCAAATTAAATAAATCGTCAACGATCATGCTGTAAAGGAAAATCGTGTTGTTATTGTTAAAATTATATTTCATATATAAATATTACTAACGAAGCAAAATTAAAATATCGTCGCATTTCATGCTGAATATAGGTCTTGTCTACGTTCCTCTAATAATATTAACTTCGACAGCGGATTGCGCGATTGTTTGCAGAACAATCACGAGCACAGTGCATCAATAGTGCGGCCGAATCGAGTTCTTGATCTGCAGACCGCAACAGGGATGATTACGCGAAACCGATAATATGTACGAGAAGATATGTCAGGAAAATACGGTAATACGATTAAGGTAGAGAATGTTCGTAAACTAAACGCCCACGAGGTGTACGCTCGCCCGAAGCTCACCGCAAAATGAATTCCAGGGATGCAGGGATTGCGACTTCCGGACCTAGTTAATGCACGAACACACAGTTAGCCGCAGACACACGCCGTGGTTTATGGATACGGCAAATCAAATGTATATGTTCTTCTTCTGCTTTCTTCGTAATATTTGCGAGAGCTCGCCGTTTCTGTGTGTATTAACATTAACGTACTCCCGTCAAATTCTATACACGTTATATTTATCCAATATTTACTCTGTTGCATTCGCTATTCGCGATTTTGTAGTCTCATAATGCATTTAATACGTGAATATCATTTCGATTCACAATCGATGTCTTCGTAATTAGCTCTACTATAAATACGTATGCTTCCACCCATGAGATAATTATCATATATTAATTCAAGGTATTCGTTTGTAATTAGCGCATTATACTGCAGCCGAGAATAAGTACATTGTACACGTTACGATTGCGCGCATTGCGTGCTAATGAAGCGATTATGAGATGTGCCATTCAATAACGGCCATTACTATGATTACCATCTGTGAATAATTTCAATTAACAGCTGCCAGCACACGCACCGTTCACGAAATGTACTGTTTGCTAAATTTCCGATTTATCCTTCCTGGTGTACCGAAGCGAATATCTACTCGTGAATGAGATCCCTTCATAATCAGTTTCCATGTCGGATTGGAGGCGTTTGTGTCAGATGAAATGTAAAATTTAACGTATCTACATATGTATATTTATACGTCTATATTTTCTCATTGAAATATTTTCTCATTGCAGAAACAGCTTGAAGTATAAACATAATAAATAACCGTTCTTCAGTTAATATGAAAATTAGTCAAGGAAAATAAGATAATAGGTAAACAGTTAAATAACAGAATAATGATGAGTCAAATAGAAAAGAAGAGAAACTTCTTGAAAATAGTCAATATTTTGCAGATTGAAATATAAAAATGTGAACATATCAGAAAAAGATTGCTGATATAATGTATTTTAAAACATTGCAATAAATATTACAAGATAAAATAATATTAACAATTTAATATCGATAATGTATAGCGGCAATGTAGAGAATAAGTATTTTACATTTACATGTCGTATAGTTTCTCATTTATCCAAAAACAGACGCTTAACAAATTTCATAAAGAACAAACATGTCACATTGAATTTTACATAAATTGTCGCAGATATTTATACATATATCGTTTTTATCAATGTTCATAATAAATTTCATATATAAATTCAACTACATACGTTACAACTGAGCTGTGAATTGTAAGACATGTCATATAATATTTAAAATGTCACATAATAATTAAAATTTTTTATATAGCGTGTTGGAAAGGAGGATATTATAATACCACAATAAAATAGTAAAGAGAGTTTTCTCTTATAAAAACAGAGAGGTTTAATTTCTCTGTCCCGAATGACTGCTATATCTGGTCATAAATTCATAAAGATAACGGCGCCGCGGCGAATGTCATATTAAGATAAAATTAATATAAAATTAGAGTGAGAAATGTATATAATTGAAGATTTCATACGGCATAGAAGAGAGACAAATTCGTCTATCTAAAAAAATATGATATGCATAATTTTAGCGCAGACAACTGATTAAATATCAACATCATTTCCAGTTTATTTCGATCATAATGATTAAGAAAACTCTTATTAATTTTCAGATACATTATAACGTAGCCCACTGGTATATTTGATATATGTATACACTATGTATGTAGATGGTAAAGTATAAATAAGAAATTCCGAATATATATATATATATATATATACAATATATAGTCGCAATCTGCTTAGAGATAAATATTATATTGAAGATATAGAACAGTACTTAATTTTCATAATATAAATTTTATTTATATAATCAGTTAGAGTTACAGTTTATTTAAAAAATTATTACATTATAAAAAATGCGTATATAATTTTATAAAAAGTTTCGCATTTAACTACAAAAATTTATTTTTAATTTAACTATTATTAAAAGTTAATGCAACTTGGAAATGTATAATATGTATATTTCTAAAAGTTTTAAAGGAAAATATCTTGTAATATCATTCACATTAATTTGTAGAATATTTAGATTTTGTGATAAGATATAATATAACATTAATTAAAAAGACTGGAATTTATTTTACTGTTTACGTAGATTCTTTAAAATAATATTTTATCAATGTAAAACGTATACCTCCTACATTATTGTTGATTGCATATCTGATGCACCTTAACCATACATTAGATACATCAGATAAGCTTTTGACTAGAAAAGCAAAAGAGGCTCGCAAACGCCCGAGCTGAATCAACGCTATTTGCATCTGCATTCCTCTCATTCCGCATTAGTTTGTGTACTCAATTTTAACAGTAAAGCAAAGCCGGCGAAATTCTCATTTTCAAATGCGGAGCACTTGCGTTTTTAATTTCCAACATTGTCGGTGATAAATCTCGCAGTAATAACGGCTTCCACGGAGAAAATTCTGGTCGCGGTTTGTCATTATTATCGCACATAATTCTTGCAGCAATAACAGGTTTCTTAATCTCCTTTTCTATAAGTCATTTTTAATCCACATTATGAACAACGGTACTTGTTACGTTACATCGTTTAATATAGTAATTTAATATAATTAATATCATTTATATAAAAATATAATAATATATCAACTACACTCTCGATATATCAATTATTATATTCGTATATAACTGATCCATTCAAAATTTTTCCGGCTCAATAGAAAAAATCTCTAACAAATCCTGCACGAATGAATGATTAATTCATAATACTATACTATCCGATTAAATAATAAATCTAAAATCGTAATATTTCGTTTAAGCGTTAAATATACATACCTATATTATACCAACATTGAATTTGTATAACAGAATAATCATTCTATTAGCTAGATGTGGGGAGAATCTATCTATCAATGCGTATTTATGTAGCTCGCACAGGTTGAAAGTAAATCATAGCAATATCGTCACAGTCGTATTAATATATCGTGAGAGCGCACGGCCACGAATATAAATCGCGCGCACGGCACGGCTCGAACAAAGTGGGAAATCGCTTAAGCCAGTAAACGCATCGATCGTTTCCAGTCGATTGACGTTCAACAGCGATATCCTCTTTCCCGTCGACAAAAGAGACTCCATTGTTGGACGGCGCTCGGGATGGGTACCTCGAAATCAGCCACGGATATCGAATGAGAAGCGGCTCCTTCGCGCGTTCAGCACATTCGGCGATCACCCTTACCATCCCCATCCCCATCCCCATCCCCATCCCCCTGTCATCCCAATCGCCTAAACCCCGCGAGGCGTTGCACTCGATCAAACGCGTCACGTTTCATGCTGCATCCCTCCGTCGCCCGGCCCGCATCTCGGATGCGTGGAATTCTATTTGCAAGTCTCTTACTCTCTTCGCCGTAAGCATCTCGCCTGCGGGGATCTTGACTTGTCTTCGTTCGCGGAAATTGAAGAAATAGGCGCGCGCGAGTAGTGAGTGAAAGTCAAATACTGTGGAAGTGAGTGCACGAGCACCAAGCTTTAAGGAAACGACGTTGCGCTGCGAGAAGATCGAGAATCAAATTTCTCACGTCCAAATTCTTCCTTTGTTGGCGGCGAGCTTTCATTTCCAATAAATTGTAATGAGAACATTCTCAGATAGGTACCGCGTGACGAAACAGAATCGAATGTTTTATTCAATTAAAATTTAAATGTGATAAATTATCATAACCTTTTCGTTGAACCATTATTAAAAGTTAATAAAGCTTGGGGGAAAATATAATCTGTTTCTTAAAAGTTTCAAAGAAAAGCGTCTTATAATGGAATTTATTGATTTGCAGTATATCCAAGTTTTCATCTCATCCCTTTTGCCCGATACCGCAATAAAATGCAAGGAAAACATCTTAAAACTCGCAAGGCTATCAGAAAATGCAGAATGAGATGTACAATCTAATTTAGTTTCCCCGGTGTAATTATATATCTTTAAAGAAAAACTTTTGCGAAGGTAGCGTTGCAAAATATCTGTTTCAGCGTTTCTCTGAAAGATAAATGAAAGTTTCGTGAAGCTAATTGCGGGCTTTTACGAGCATCTTTCTTGCCTTTCAAGAATCGTTTGTCTACGGATCTTCAGATTACGTTACAACATTCAACGTCGACATTCCTTACAAATGATTTTACATTTTTCTTATCTTTTTAACTGTACTTACGCAAGTTATTCAATCCGATAATTACTCTATCTATTAGAATGAACAGCTAATAACAGTGAATTAATGATATTTTATAAGTCGCGATAGTGTGATAATCCTGTGCAAAAATAACCTAAACCTCAGAAATCGTAAAGCGGAAAAATTGGATACTTCGCGATATCTCTTGTAAGTTACGCTACATTTGACGTCCTTCGAGAATGGCCTCGAATCTAAGAGAATCTAGATACCCCCGCGGATTCTCGTCATAACCGATGGATAAGAGCGCCTTTCTCGCACGAGATTATAGGACCATCCGAGAGAAATAGATCCACATTTTTAAGAAAGATGACGCAGATAGTTCGAAATGGCCAACGTGATAAAAATGCATGACCCACGTAAACTCGAATCCCGATTGATTT